CATCTGTGGTCTCTTAGAGTCCGTAAGATATCTGCCCAGGCTCTTCTGCCTATTAGTTTCCATTGAAAAGTTGGGTATAATTCTGACAGGTCTGCCTTTATATGTCATTTGACCATTTTCATAGATTTGGTCTTAGTGTTCCAGATATTCTGGATGTTTGATGACTAGTTTTTAAAATTTGATTTTAGATTTAACATTTTCTTTGACTGAGCTATTGATTTCTCCTGCTTTGTCTCCAATGAATGAGCTTCTCTCTTCTATGTGTTGTAGTCTGGTAGTGAGGAATACCTCTGAGGTCTTTGACTTCTTAAATTTTCATTTCTGGTTTTATTTCAGTTTATGCTTTTCTTAGTGATCCTGTTTCTATCATTCCTTCCTTCCTTCCTTCCTTCCTTCCTTCCTTCCTTCCTTCCTTTTTTTTACACCGGGTTTCTTTGTGTAGCCCTGGCTGTCCTGGAACTATCTATCTCTGTAGACCAGGCTGGCCTTGAACTCATAGATCTGACTGCCTCTACCTCCCAAGTGCTGGGGTTCTTTGTTGAATTCTACTTGCCGGTCTTGAATTGTTTTTATTATTTCATTCAACTCTTTATGTTTTCACACACTTCATTAAGGGATTCATTCATATCCTCCTTAAGGCCCTTAAACATATTCATAATCAGCATTTTAAAATTTCTGTCTTGTACTTGAGCTATATTGCACTTCTCATAGAATTTCAGTTCATCACAAGATACCAGTAAGAAAATAAGAACTACAGAATGTGAGATATTTGTAGTCTTCAAAACGGAGTTGTGGAAACTATATGAGGATCTTCTATAAATCAAATGAAAAGGTTAAGTTATGCAAGTATGTGAAACAGATTTGAGTAAACATTCAACTTGGAGGTAAGGCTCAGTAGTAGAGTATTTGCTCAATATAAACAGATCTTCTGTTCAGTGAAAGACCACAAAACCAAACAAAAATATAAAACCAAAAAGTATAATACTGGTTGAGGGTAGTGGTAAGAAGGGAAGGACTATAGGGCTTCTGGGATTTTGGTAACATTTTTGCTTACTTCTCTGTGTTTCATTTGTGGAATTATTTCAAATTATGATCTGGACATTTTTATGTTGAATACATATTGCAATTTGATTGGAAATATTTCTATTTAGGAAAAAAATGCCTTGATGTCCAGGGTGAAGACCATAAGCAGAGCAGTTTTGCGATTACTACTGACCACAAGATAGTTTTTATCATCTAGCATTTCCTATGTTATGGAAGCAGAGGAAGTGTATAGGACTGAACTCTGCAAAGTGGCCAGAGTGGGTTGTTGGGCAAGAATCCAATGTGTATTTTGATAGCATCCACACCTGAAACAGGAGGAGGAAAGTAGAAACAGTTATTGAGGAAACATTAGGAAGATTGATAATGTTCCAATTTTGTATATGATTAACTTGGTCTGTCATCCAGAATAAGCAACCATTTTTTGTTGTTGTTTTGTTTTACATTTTTTTGAGAGATAGGCTCTCGCATGTCTGAGATTGTTATGTACCTGTGGATGGCCTTGATGTTTCCATCTTCCTATTCCCACCTCCTGAGTGCTGGAATAAGAGGCACGGGTTAGCATGCCCAATTTATTCAGTGCCAGTATCAAACCTAGGACTTCTTCCATGCTAGTGTCCTACCAACTGAGCCACATCCATAGCCCGGCCACCACTGACTTTATCATGTGCTAAGGTTCTGAGCTAGAAATTCTCAGTGCATTAAAGTTTGAAAATCATCACCAAACCCTGGGGCATGTAGTATCACCAAAATTTGCAGATGAAAAAGCCAAAACTTTGAGAGATAAAATAACTTGTCTCCATTTTAGCTAGGAGCTGTCAGTAAATTGAAACTGGAACTCATCTCTGCGTGATTTGGAAACCAACAATCTTGATTTTTTTTCTTTCTTTCATTTTTCTTTTCATTGGAGAATCTTGTTCTTCAGTCCAAACTGACTTGAAACTTATACGACTCCTCCTGCCGTAGCCTTGCTATGGCTGGGGTAACAAGTATGAGCTACCACTCCTGGCTATCGTAGCTTTTTAAAACCAGTTTTATTTGAGCTTAGTGAGGAGAAAACTACTTACGATGGACCATGTGCAGTCTTTTTGTTTTGTTTTATTCTGTTTTTTTTTTTTCTTTTCAAGACAGGGTTTTTCTGTGTAGCTGTGTCTGTCCTGGAATTCACTTTGTAGACCAGGCTGGCCTTGAACTCACAGAGATCTGTCTGCTTCCTGAGTGCTTGGATTAAAGGCTTTCACTGGCATATAGTAAATCGGGTAGCTTACTATATGCAGTTTTAAGACACTTTGAGGAGAACAATTTCTCCAGCCAGTTTTGAAGTTTGAGGTAGCCTGTTATAAGATTTTTTTTTTTTTTTTTTTTTTTTTTTTTTGGAAATAGCATTATTTTTTTTCCTTTCTATAAGGATTGAAACCCCTCCACTAAACAACACTGGCTATGCTGGGAAAGGCCTGCATTGGTGACCTATGAGACCTTTCCACGTTTTGGAGACATTTTAATACCTTGAATAATTGCCTGTGATAGGCAGGCAGGTACTATTTTATGCTTATTAATGACTCTCCAGGCTTGATATTATTTCTCTCCTCACTAATTCACATGCAGAGGTAAAGAAAATGGTACTGGGGACTGATTGCCACAACACTATCTGCATAGCAATGCTTTTCTGCTTGCTTTGTTACAGGGAGAAAGGGGAGAGGAGAAGGGAAAGGATGTGACAGCTAAATCTGTTTGAAAAGCCAAGTTCTGGTACAGAAAGCAGAACTTTGTCCAGTGTAAGTTATTGATATTTGTGCTTGGTTAGGATTTTAGGGTTGACTTGTTCTACACATGTGTGTCCTCTTCTTACTGTGATATACAGTCTGCATTGGAAACACACACAGGTAAATATTAAAGACCAGCGCTTCCATTTGCTCCCGTGACTTGTTTCTTGATCCTTCAGGCACTCGTGTCTGCAGCCTGTAAATTGTTTGAAACACTAGAACATCCTCAAGAACAGGTGGTGGTTTGAAAGAAAGTGCCCCCAAAGAGAGTGGCGCTATTAAGAAGTGTGGTCTTGTCAGAAGAAATGTGTCACTGTGGGAGCAAGACTTCAAAATTTCCTATGTTCAGGATATGGCCCAGCTCAGTGTTTAGTGTACTTCCTGTGCTTACAAGATGTAGCACTCTTGTTCCTCCAGCACTAAGTCGGTCTGCATGCCACCATACTCCCCATCATGGTGATAATGGACTGAATCTCTGAAACTATAAGAGAGTTACCCCAATTAAATATTTTCTTTATAAGAGTTGCCATGGTCATGGTGTCTCTTCACAGCAGTGAAAATCTTAAGCAAGACAGAACCCTAAATGAAATTTGGATTATTTTCTTCTGAATGTGTCTTTCCAGTAGTCTTATGACTGTAACCTATATAAGCAATGTGACAGAAAGATATATGAGATGGATTGAATGGAATATGTATGGATGTGGTTTGAGAAACAAACAAACAAACAAACAAACAAAAACAAACCTCCTTTATTTCTGGAGCAAGTTATCCAACTTTTCTTGCTGTGTTGATATACAAGATGCCCCAAAGAAATATTTGACTATGTTCACTTTCAACCAGAATTGAGTTTGCTAGAATCTATCTAGTGTCATGGACTTGCTTTATGTACAGGTGCTCATGAAAACAAAAGCCAAGCGGGCCTGGAGAGATTGCTCAGCTGTGAAGAATGCTTGGTGCTCTTGCAGAGGACCCAAGTTTAGTTCCCAGCACTCACACTGAGCTGCTCACAACTGCCTGTAACTTTAGCTCCAGGGGATCTGACGCCTTCTTCTGGCCTTTGTTGGCACTTGCAAACAAGTACACACACACACACACACACACACACACACACACACAGGGAAAAAAATCTCATAAGAACAAAATCCTGGGCGTGATCTTTGAATTGCAGTGTTTGAAATGTGGAACTTGTAGTTTAGAAGTCAGTTCTTCTGGGAAGTGTGTGTGTGTGTTTGTGTGTGTCTGTGTTTATTAAATTGAGTAGCATTGTACAGTGTGCCTTGAAGCTCTTCAGAGAGCTATAGGAACTTCTTTTCCACTGATTTTGGAGACTATAAAGTGTGTTTCCTGTCAGCAGCAGTTTTACATAGTGGAAACAGGCAGTGCCAAAGGGACTACAGTCACCATAGGGATTCATCAACTTGCCTTCACGATTGCACTCTCAAGCCAATTCAAAGTTGTCTTTCCCTTAGAAGAAGTTTGTTTCCACTGAGTCCGGGCTTTCTTCTTCCCTTATTTGAAAGACAACAACAATTTTTTTTTTGCATTCAAATAATCCTATAATGATTTTATAAATAGAAAATAATAATAATTTTTCAAAGAGGTATGGCAAACAGTTTTTTACATGGCCCGACTTACATGTCCAGGACTTTACATGTATGAATGGGCACATTTTCAGGCAATATAGGAAAACTTTCCAACCCTGATTCTTGATTTCCTGTTGCAACATTTTTTTTCATGTACGTGTTACATTTCTGCAACACTGAATAAAACTTGTAATAGGAAATGTTTTTCCGGGTGACCTCCCTGAGAGACTGAGTTATGAAAGAAATCCTAAGAAACTTGACCCAGATGAGATTACTTCCATTGAGAATATTGCGAAGGACAGAGACAACAGACTGAATTATTTCTGGTTCTTTAATAAATGGCAGAGGAAATTAATCTCCAGCAAGTCCAGTCTCATATGGAAGGTGAACTTTGCTTTTCTTTTGAGTTAGAAGACCCTTGTATAAAATAGTTTGTTTTTTGTTTCGTTTGGTTCTGTTTTTGGATCTTAAGGAGCTGGGAATCTCTCCTACTGTCTGCATGCCTTGTATTTTCCAGAGTTGTCTGTCTTTGTATCTAATTTTCTGGAGCCTGACCTTCAATTTGACATCATATATGGACAGATACTAATGAATATTATTTTCATCTTCCTAGCACTTCTGGAGAAATCAGTCAGTCGAAGGCGGGACATTGAAGCTGTTCAGAAAGCCAAAATCCTTTATTCATCCTGTATGAATGAGAGTGAGTAATAAAGAAAATAAATATTTATGGTCCTTATACTTCAGAATTCTATTAATGTTTAAAGGTATTGTTAAGGAAAAGAGAACTAAAATTCTATTAATGCTTAAAGGTGTTGTTTAGGCAAATAAAGAATTCTCAAAGACTGGATTTTGATACGTTTCCTTAGTCAATCTGTGGTTGTTGTAGTGGAAAAACAATCTTTTAAAGACATTTTAATTTTATTATTTATGTTTATAATTATTGGGGGTGTATGTGCACATGAGTGCATGAGTACAGGTGATCAGGTGAGGTTGTAAGATCCCCTGGAGCTGGAGAGTCATGCTGTTGTGTACTGCCCAATGTGAGTGTTGAGAACTGAACTCAAGTCCGATGCAAAAACAGTGTGTGTTCTTAACAACTGAGGTATCTCCCCAGCTCCAAGAAAATAATCTTATTTCTGCGACTGGATTGTTTGGGTATCAGTTCCTTTGTAAGAAATTTGGATGTGGCACCTGGGAAAACCCCATTTTGTTTGGTACAAAAATCAGACTTCATATCTAGTTCAGTCTGGCTCAAGAAAAATCTTGAGAGGGCATATACTCAGGAGAGTTATGTTCTCTAGAAACCGCTGGAACCTAGTGACACTTAGATTTCAGGCATACCAGGCTCCTAACTAGTATTCTTGTTGGGAGACAAAGGCCTCAAGGTGATCTTTCAAGGCCATTCCAGAATTGAAGCAAGTGCTTCCAGAAAGTGTGTTAGTTGATTTAGGATTTGGAGATGCCGTTTAACACATATTCACCAGGTCATCCTGATCTTAACTGAACCATATTGTTAATTAGGGTTATTTCTTGATGTCAATAATAAGTACCACTGGCTTAAATGGATACATTGGCTGGGGTCTGTGCAGTAAGTCTGTCTTCATTATAGAGAGCATCCAGCAGGTTCACTGAAGTGCATGATAGGTAGTTCTGCTCATATAGTTATTCTCAATCCACTCTACTCCTCTCACCCTCTCCTTAACAGCTGAGGTTTCAAGTGGCGGGCTTTATGGGAATTTTCCCTTGAGAAGGTACATTTGCATTCTAGCTTGGTGACCCAGTTTGCAATTCATTTTCAGTGTTTTGAGTCAAGGTCTTGTGGAGCCCAGGTTGGCTTTGAGAAGTCACTGTGCAGTTGAGGCTGAGAATTTCTGTATCTTCCTCCCAAGTTCAGGACTTAGAGGCATGGACCATCACACTTGACTGCTAGATTACAATTCTAATCTGCCCTTTGTATTCACTCCCTTTCAGAAGCAATTGAAAAAGCAGATGCCAAGCCACTTCTCCACATCTTGCGGCATTCACCTTTTCGCTGGCCTGTGCTTGAAGCTAATATTGGTCCTGAAGGGGTTTGGTCGGAGAGAAAATTCAGTCTACTGCAAACGCTTGCAACATTCCGTGGTCAATACAGCAATTCTGTGTTCATCCGTTTGTATGTGTCCCCTGATGACAAGTCATCCAACGAACATATTTTGAAGGTACAGTCAGGCTGTTCATTCATTCTGAGATTAGCTCTTTAGGGTGTCTTTTCCTTTTCTTTTTATATATAGGGTCTCAGGTACCCTGGAATGGTCTCAGACTTGCTGTGTACCTCAGGATGACTTTGAACTCCTGTGCCCTGTCTCCATCTCCTAAGTGCTGAAATTACAGGTGTGGATCACCATACCATGTTTATGCATTGTTGGAGACTACACTTCATGAATGCTAGGAAATCACTCTGCAAAATGTGCTACAATCCCCAGTTTGGGTGCTTTCCTAAAGAAAGGGATTCATGCTGACTTAATGAAATGATAAGGTAAATAAAAATTCAGCTGAGATTTAGGATCTAGAATTATGCTCTGCTCCAAGATTTTTAGAATGTAGACCATTAGCAGAAATTTCAGCCTTTCAGGAACCCTGTGAGTGGGTTTCAAGTGATCCATGCTCTCACTCTCAGATGGCTTCTCTACGCATGGGAATTCCAGCTGGGAGAGGTCTCTGCATCTTCTGTGATGATGGAAGACTTTCTGAACTCTGCTCTTTCCCTCACCTCCTCATTCCTCTGACAGAAGGGACAACACATGCCAGATTCCTTGTTCCCCTTTTTTTGGAACAACTTGAGTGCACGCCTACATCCCCATTGTCAAGTTCAATCTGAATCTGTCCTCCTCCCTTTCAAAAGCTAAAGCAGAACATATTCTAAGCACATTTTCTTCTTTGAGAATGAGCATAAAGTCAGGGAGCAGTTGGATGTGCCTTGAGGTGGATTGCATTGGTGAAATTATGAGGTTGTCAGAAAGTTTCAGACCACAAAAGATTCATCAATGAAAGAGGGTTGTGGGAATTCAAATAACATTTCCCAAGTCATTTTATGCATTCACCCTGCTGTGTTTTTCTTCTTCCATACAAGAATAATAATGATGCTATTGAACATTGATTTCTACACTAATCTGCCCTTCATCACAGCAGAATATATTAATGATCTGTCAATATAAAAACTGCAGGACTATAAAACCATTTAGTGTATTTCTTTATCCAACATAAGCCACTTCTCCAAAAATCAAAACAATGGAGCTTCTCTTTTGAGTTAAGTAAGAGGTGGGACAATGTGTTTTCTATAAAGGGACAGATGGTGTATATTTGAGGTTTTGCCAGCCACCTGCTCTCTATTTCAGCTATTGAGCTTTGCCATTGTACCTGGGAAAGCAGCTTTAGATGAAGAATGGGGATAACTATGTGACGAGGTAGCCTGACCTCTAACAGTAGACAGTGATAGGTGTCAAGAAAAACCTTTGGTTGTTGAAAGAATTCTTACTCAGAAGGAAATTTTTAGTTCCAGGGACAGCTGTGTGTCTGTGTTGTCTGATGAAGTAGCAATATTAGGTATTGAGCTATCTTGTGATACTATTATGTGATACACAATGATGGTTGCAGTCCAATCAGCCCCTGTTCTATGTGGATAGAGTACTCAATTTTTTAAAGCCAGATTTTAAGGCTGTTAGTCTCAATTACAGAACTATTATGATATTCTTCCAATTACTTTAGATGGTATTTTAAAGTAAGAAAGAGACTGCCATTCAAAAGTAATTTACACCCTTCATGAAGTGGGAGATGGTTTTGATTCACACAATGGTGCATCATTGCAAATGGTAATGATTTTATTTTTCACCCATTTCTGGACCTAGACAAATAGTTGACCTATTTCTTTCATATTTTGTCATGAAGAAAACTACCAACTAAAATGAAATTAACAATAAACACCTATGCATTTATGAGCCCAACTTTGTGCCATTTTTACCTAATTTAAACCTCTCCTTTTTGGAGGCTGGAACATTTTATAGCATATCTAAAATGTATCTTTTCACTGTGAATACTTCATTGTCTGAGATACTGTGAAGGACTCTTACCACAACCAAAATGTAATCATAATTCCATACTCAATATCTAATGGAAATTAGTTTTCAATTTTCCTGATTATATCAAACAATTTTTTGTAATGGTGAGGAAAAATTCCAGGGCCTCATGAATGCTAAGCAAGTGTTCTTCTGTCAAGCTACACCTTCAGCCCCTCAAATATGTCCTTAATAAACCCCAACAAGAAAGAGCTGCATTTTGATTGAGGCTAAAATTGAGAAACAATCACATGGGCATTTTCTAAGTCAGATTTAGTCTACAATAGTCACCATCTTCTTTTTGTTTTTCTTTAAACCAAATTTATTTGCCAAAGAGACTGGATTGTTTCTCCTATATTTTCTCCACAATATGGATTTGATTGATTTCAGGTTAAATGAACAGCCAGTGAGACAAAGTTCTCACTTATAGGAGAACCACAGCTTGAAAATTCAGGAGAGGAACTTGAGAGATGCTCAGTAGTTAAGAGAACCTGATCCTTTTGCAGAAGATTTGAGTTTGTTTCTCAACACCAATGTCAGGTGGCTCATAACTGCATGTAACTCCAGATTTAGATGCTTTCTCTGGTTTCTGTGGGCATTTGTACCCCCAGGTGCCTACCTACACACATATACACTTATATAAATATAGTTTAAAAGTATTTATTTTTGCTATTTAATTATGTGTGTATGAGAAAGAGAAAAATGATGATGATTATGATGAGTGCAGATACTCTTGGAGGTCAGAAGCCTCAAATTCCTTGGAACTGGAGTTGTAGGTGGTTTTGAGCCATCCAACATGGATCATGGGAACTGAATTCAGGTCTTTTGCAAGAGCAAACACTATGTGCTCTTAAAACATGGGGATACCTCTCCATCCCATATACATCTAATTAAAAATAAAAATAAGTCAGGTGAAATAAAAGGTTAGATTACTATTACTTAAATCTTCAAAGAGCCAATGGATTTAGGAAACTGTCATGAATAGCTACAAAATGGTCAGGTGATTATTTGGGAAATTCATGGAATGATGTCTCTAGAACTCAACTATCAATGGTAGTATTGTTGAAAATGGAAACAAAAACACAGATTATTGTATGCTTCTGATACTAGTCAGGAGAAATGTGCCATCACCAGAGACATTGGGCAAAAACCACAAATCCAAAAATAAACCACTTAAAACTAGTTCAGTGTCTACCTTTAATGCCTATTTATAGAAAAATAAGGGAAACATAGGACCATGGTAACAGCTTGCCTTCCACATGTAATATTCAATTACAAAGGTCCTAGAAACATTGTCAATTATAGAATATTTGCCAATTGTAAGAAAGATGGCACTTATATACTTATTATTGCTTTCTTTTGCCAAGATGGAAGCTTTTCCAAACTGAAGTGTTAAAGTACTGCTTGGCATTTGTGTGCAGCTCACATTGGCTTTAGTTCTATCCCTATTTGTATGCAATTACATGAGTGAATGTTCACAAATATGAATTAACCTCCTCTCCTGAACAACACAGAGCTACAGTTTTTATAGTAATGAAACAGTTTTAAGCATGTCAAGAGATAGCAGGAACAATTTTGTTCTGAGATCTGTATGAAACCCAATGACCCTGACAAGAAAATTTGTGTATTGATGGCTGCCAGAGTTCTAGAACTTGTATGACTGCATTGGCTGTTTTGTTAGTTTTAAATTTCTAGGGGCCCATGAAATAGTTCAGCAGGAAAAAGTACTTTCTGACAGGACTGGCAATGTGATAGAGTCTATCCCTGGAACCCACTTGCTGGAAGGAGAGGAGTTTTCCCTGCAAGTTGTTCTCTTACCTCCACATATGTACCATGTGTGCATGTGTATACATACACACAAATAAATTAAATGTAAAATTTAATTGTTAAATACAAAATGTAAGTGAATATCACTTGTAGTCCTGAATCCATTTCTGATTTTGTGGGACACAAACAGTTGTATGGTGACAAGGGTTGGCTCTGGTGTTGAGGACACTGAAGTTCTCGGTTTAGCTTTGAGAGTTACTCATTATCTTATGTATGTTCTTTCATCTCTCTTGAAGCTCATTTTATCTGTGGGTAAGAAAGATTAAATTATCATTTACTTGTTGTTGTTATTTGGTTTAGATCACTTGAATTTTATGAGTTTCTGTGGTAGATACTGGTCCACAGTGACATATGACAGGAGGCTCTCTTCTCTTGAGACATGGCCCATCAATGCGCCAGGAACATTTAACAGTGCTTCTGATCAATTTGAGTACTTTGCATGCATGTATAGCCTGTTACTTGGTTGTGAAAGAAACAGCCATTTTCCTTAGTCAGCCTAATCTCTCACCTTGAGCATATATACACTTTACTGTTAGCAGAGTATATGGTGCCTCTGAGTGTACCAAAATGTACTCCTTTCAATGGGCAGATATGTCCCATCCTCAAGGTATGCAGGTTGGCCCGCCCACACTTTGGTCTTTGAAAAAGCTCCCCTGTGTCAAGATGGTAGAAATTTGCTATGGATTTCAATGGGAGGTAAAATTATAAGGAGTATCAATCACCTTGTTGTCTGTGCTTATGCTCATCTTAAGTTTGGTGATAGGAAGAGTAAGAATTTAAGGGACAATGAAAACTTGTATGTGTGATCTTGAAAGACTGTTTGATGGGTCATGGTTATTCTAGTATAAGACAACCTAATGTCATTGCTATTCATGACCTGCATTTTTCTGGATCTCAGCAAAATTCTTGATGTCAATCAGAGAAATTCTCTTAGAAATGAAGTTTCTCTAATATTTTGTTTTCCCCCTCTATCATAATTTTCAGATGTTTCTTTTATATTATTATTTTCTCCCCTAAAACACTGTTACAATTGACATGCCAATTACAATTGGACAAAAACAACATCTTCAATTTAATGTATTTGGTTTTCTAAAATCATACCTTTTTTTAAAAAAAAGTGTGCCTGAACCATCCTGTTACTAATTCTGTAGCCAAGACTGGTCTGAACTACCTCTCAAGTGCTGGGATGAAAATTTTCTTTTCTGTTGAAATCGAAACATTCATATCATAAATGCAAGGACTTTAAAAAACTAGAACAATAACGTGTAGGTTTCTTGAGAAAGACTTTTTCTCAGGAGTTTGTGTGTTTCTAATAAGATATAGTTTACTGACCTTATTCAATCCATTGGTGTATTTAAAATGTTCTCTAGAAACCATAACCATCAGAAAGTTTATAAAAGGTTTGGTAACCTCACTTGAATTTTCCAAACTTTCACCCTCCATGGGTTTAGCTTTATTTCATGAGAGGAACCTTTGACTTTCTTGATGTTTCCTTTCCTCTGTGACTGGAGCTCACAAGAGTTGCTGAGTGATCCAAATTCAATTGAAAGCCAAAGAGTCTTAATCAAAATATTTTGTTTTGTTATTCTGGCTTACTTCATTTTGGAAGAAACAATGGCAGATTGAGAATTACAGGATGAAGAAGCCAGAATAGCTTGTGACTTGTTTTAAGCCAATTAGCAATACACACAGGCTACAAGGATGTTTTGAATGCATTTTCAAAAAAAAAAAAAAAAACAATATAAAACCTACTATTTCCTTAGTGTTTATAACAGCACCACTCTAACTTTGACTTTTGTAGGTTTTGCTTCATTTGAAGGGATTTTCATGGAAAATTGTAATTTTATATAGATTTTATGTATGAAAAGGGTTTAATACTTAAGATTAAAGTTGATTAAAGTTGTCTATTATTTGTGTGTCTATCACTTATTCTTAATTTTGCAGAGAAGGTTCTGAAAGTCACAAAGATTTCTCCAAAATGTCAGTTGGTTCTTTTTGAGTAAAAAGATACATTATTTTTGAAGTGGGGATGTAGAGAGATTAATGCATCAGCCTAACCAGATGGGCATTTGCAAAGCACAACAGTGATATGGGTAGTGGATCTTGGAACAGAAGATGATTTTACTATGAGCTCTGTTCAGCCATGTGAGCTTTGGAAAATCATAACTTCTCTGGCTTTTGTCAGATAATTTCTAATGTAGATTCCAACTCAAGTAGTCTTGTATTTTTAAGTGTTGTTGAGACCTCAAAGATAGAGAGCACCAATCAGAAAAGCAGGGGGCAGGTCTCTGATATGTTAGGTTTCTGAAAGTGCCTATTTGCATGCACTTCTGTATGAAGTGAAATCATGTTTGTGATGATGACACAAGCTCAAACTATAGCTGGACTGACAGTGAGTCTGTGACTCTTATTAATATGATACACAACAGTTTCAAATGTCAATACCATGCTTACTTTTGTTTTGCTTGTTTTTTGTTTTAACAGCTGGACCAAGCAACACTCTCCTTGGCTGTGAGGGAAGATTTCCTTGATAACAGCACTGAAGCCAAATCTGTAAGTTATACTCATGTTCAACTACATGTCTTCTCTGGCTGCTGTTTGGTTTATCGGTTGCTATAAAATGTCTGCTTTTTTTTCCCCCTGGAAGTAATCATCATAACTTCACTGAGCACATTCCCAGTGTAGGAAGCAAAGATCTTTTATTTAGGTTGGTGGTTCTCAACCTGTGGGTCATGATTCCATTGTGGATTATATATCAAATATCCTTCACATCATATATTTACATTATGATTCATAAAAGTAGCCAAATTACAGTTATGAAATAGCAATGGAATAATGTAATGGTTGGGGGGCCACTATAATATGAGAAACTGTATTAAAGGGTCACCACATTAGGATGGTTGAGAACCAACACAATTCTACTTCCTGTCTTGTAGAAGTAGGAACATCAGGTTTGTGAAAGTTCCCTTTTCAGTGCCCTCATTACCTAGATGAGGAGATGGTACATTCAAATGAAATAACCAAGACATGCATTTGCAGTCAGTCATTAGAAGAGCTAATCATTTACTATCATTTTCCAAACTGAAGGATACTCAAAATTGTATTGGCTTTAAAAAATCACCCTAGAAACTTCTTATATGGATTAAGCCATGGTGATTATGGTTTAGTAGACAAGACAGGATTTGGGATTCTATTTCTAGCATTCTCTGGGTTATTGATGGGCAATGAAAAACAGAAAGAATCAATCAGAATTCTAGACTTAGTTTGGAAACAGGGTAGTTTCCTAGACATTGGACAGGGCTAGTTCATTTTGACAATTTGTATTCAATTGGGAAATTTTGTTATCCCTTCTAACAATCCTAACACCCAGGTCTCTTGGGTCTGTGCTGATAGCCTCTATATGTGGAAGGTTCTGCAGACTAGCCAAGATCATAGGCATCTTTCAGGCGGAGTATACTCATCAAAGGGGGTGTCCAAATTTTCCTTCTTGAGTCAACATTTGGCAAGTTTTGTTCCCACACCATCACTCCCAGTATATCTTGCTCTCAAGAAACAGTTTAAATTTTGGGCTGGAGAGATAGCTCAGCTGTTAAAGGCTACATTCACAACAAAACATGTGAGTATATCTTGCTTTCAAGATAAAGTCTAATTCCTTTTAATAAACTCAAGGTCTCTTCATTGCCCACTTTCAACCTGTCTCTCCCACCTTACTTGTTTATATTCTTTCTTCTAGAGAAGGACATATCTTTCACTGTTCCCAAACCCTACATCTCTCAAATGGTATGCTTCCAAATTTTCTGGGCTGGAATCTTTCAGTTCTTCAGCTTTCATGCATACAGTGGCTTTATTAAGAAACATCTTTGCTTGTCTAATGTTACAGCCATTTCATATTTATCTTCATCACTAGAGCACACACTGAGTAACGGTCTCAAGCATTATTTAGTTTTTCATTTGTATGCCTTCCCCCATCATGTACAACCTGTCGATCAAGCCACCTCATACCTGTACTGAGCTAGTTGAACACTTTTTAGTAGACTTGGGAAGGGCAAACCATTCTTTCCAATTAAGACTATCAGCCAGGCTTGCTGACTGAATTTCATTTATTAAAAGGCTGGCCATCTACCAAGAAACATATAGGTCTTAAGGTGAGTCACACAGTAAGAATAGCTTTCAGGGTCATAGTATACCTTAGAGGTAAAATTCTGTATTTGGTAGTTGCTATGTTTATCATCATCATTTCGCCCTCCCTACAACCCTGAGCCAAGGAGGACAACTCCATGGAAACTGAAACTGAAAAGACGCAGGACTCCAATCACTATAATCATCTTTTATTTCTTAGTGTGAAGCTGGGTAAATGGAGCTGGATGGGAATAAATCACACTTCGCATTAGTGCTCATGGATCAGGTCCTCAGCTTTTAGACACAGTTCTTTTCCATTACTTTATTAAAGCATCACTTGCCTGGGAGGGAGACCTTTACCTTTCTATTCTGGACTCATTTTGTGATGTTTCTTTTATCCATAATATCACCAGTTACCAGAAAACTAGTTTGCTTGATGTTTGATGCCTGGGCAACTGTGTCTGTCACAAAAATAGTACCTGTGCACTCATCACTCTTATTTTTCCTCTGAAAGTGGCAGGTAGGTGGCTGACATTGCATAATGCTGGTAGAGTACAGAATGAAAACGAAGGAAGCTTATTTCCACCTACTGTTTCTGCTCTTCCGTATCTCTAAAACATATGTCCTAGCAAGCTGTTGTCATGGCCACTTGCTTCTTTATCTCTTACAGTATCGGGATGCCCTTTATAAGTTCATGGTGGACACTGCTGTGCTTTTAGGAGCTAATAGCTCTCGAGCTGAACATGATATGAAGTCAGTGCTTAGATTGGAAATTAAGATAGCTGAGGTAAGTCTTAGTTATAATTTTTTTGCCATACCCTTTTCTTTTCCTTATTTTGTAAATAATACATGCTGAATGGAAATATAAATTTCAACCAAATGGTAACAACCATCTGTGTCATTGCCCTCTGGGTCCAAGATAGTAACTGCATCTTCTTTGGGAAGTAAAAAGAACCATGACAGGAATTAAGAGCTCCTCCTTCCTTATACTTCTATGATTTAAGCCTAGTCAGTATTTATGTGCTACACCACTGTGATTAAATAATGCCAGCAAGGAAACCAGTTTTCTAAGAGAAAGTCTTATGTGGCTCAAAGAGAAGACAGATGATTAATAAAAACTGATTTCATTGAAAGTTAGGTTTCCTTTCTTCCTCCCTCCCTCCTTACCTCCCTCCCTCCTTGACTCCCTCCCTCCCTTCTTGCCTCCATCCCTTCCTCCCTCCCTCCCTCCCTCCCTCCCTCCCTCCCTCTCTCCCTCCTTCCCTCCTTCTTTTCTTTCTGGTGCTGGGAGTTGAATGTAGAGCCTCACACATGCCAAGTATGTCACCACTACTAGGCTATACCCTCAGTCCTGGAAGGTAATTTTTAACCCAGTTTGCTTTTCTAAAATATATATTATTCCTACTCCATGTTACTGATAAATTTAATTTCAGAGAAGTTTATCAATATTGAATATGAAGTTTGATGCAGAAATTGTATAGGACATACTTTAAAGCAACCTTGTTGGTGCTATTTTGTGTCTACCATTCTTTACTTTTACATCCCTTTCTCTCTTTTTTTTTCTCAAGACAAGATCTTACTGTGTAACTCTAGCTATCCTGGAACTCCCTAGGTAGATACGGATAGTTTGGAAAGCAGGTATCTACCTGCCTCTGCCTCTTGGAGTGCTGGGATTAAAGGTGTGTGCAACCACACTCAGTAGTACCTGGCCTTGCCTCCCCCCAATACTGCTTTAATGATTTCACTGTGTCATATACTATATTCTGAATAAATCACCTTAAATTCTTTCTGGCTCATGTTAGAGACAGAAATAGGGCGGGGAAACATTTTGTTGGAGAATGGTAAATCCTAAATGGCTTATAGAATGAATGTTTTCTAGAAGAACCTATGTATAAAATCCCTAAATGTTCTCATGTTCAGAGAAGAAATATGGTGACATTTACTTGTAGGAGTCCTTAGTGATCTTTTATTATGGAAGTTGCTAAAATCTCTGAGGTCCAAGTGTTTATTGGTTTTGTATTTTGTAAACTGGTGGCAGTATGATGAGTTATGGAGTTGGGATGGATGGTAGGGTTGAGGACTTCGGTCTCCCCTTACAATGATGATGTTCACATATATCTTTCTCCAAATTCCTACTCACAACAGAAAGGTTCTTTCTTGGGGGCTAGGTTGATGACTCTGTAGGTAAAGCACTTCCTGTATTAGCATGAGGATCAGAATTTGAGTTCCCACAATCCATGTCTATAATTTTAGTGATTTTACTTGGAGATGGGCGGTCAAAACAAGAGAATTCTGGGAAGCTCATGAAATGGTGTACCCAGTGCAGTAGCAGACAAAAAAGAGACTCTGCCTCAAACAAAGTAGGTGAGGACCAATGCCCAAAGTTATTCTCTGACTTACAAACATGCACCGTGGGATATGTGCCCTACTAGTTCATTCTTGAAAACTTTTTTTTTGTCAAGCCTCTGTTTACTCTAGGGCATATAATACTGTCTTTAAAATTTTCTCCCAGTTTCACTGTTATTAATGTGTATTATTTTTTTAAAGTTCTACTTACAATTTCAATAGAAATTTGTTCCCAGCCTTGAGGCAAGTGGAGAAATCTTGGGTAAAAACACACCATATTATTTTTGATAAGCCTGACATGGTGGAACTTAATTGCTTCCATTAGCTTTTTGGTCATTTTGGTAGGAAGCCAACTTTCAAAACCCTATCCTGCTATTCAAACCACAGGTAGTGATGCCAATGGGCTGGTTCAGCTCAATGGACCAGCAGATACTGACCAGTGCTGGGCTCAGCTGTGCCATGGGCTTTTGGTCCAAATAGTTGCTCTTCCTTGAATTTGAGAACAAAAATATAAGATGTCTAAACATGGAAGATGCCACACATTTCTCCATTACTGCAACCCTAAAAGATCATCCAACTCATTTATGCACTACTCAAAAATACTGTAAAATGTACTCTTAATGAACCCAACTTCACTTTAAAAAGTTTATTATTGCTTGTCCCATGAATGTTGTGAAGCTTCTTGCAGATGTGCCCGTAAGCCACGTCTACAGGCTGTCTGGATTTCCTTCCAAAACAAATAGGAGGCCCAGAGTACTAATTTGAACTAAAGGTGTGATAAATAGCATGGAAGGCCATGCCTTGAGCCAGGGAATTAGACCAAAAAGAAATCTAAAAACAGCTGGGCAGAGGCAAGACAGAATTGCTGAGAGGGTAAATGAAGTGACAAATCCATTGTGTGGAGGGGAACAGCTGCTAGAGAGCTGAAAACAGCTTTGAGGCCAAAGGGTTTTAGCTGGATCTTGGGCTCTGAGTTGAGAAAGAAGGAGGGTGTGAAAGACATGTAGAAATCCTCTGAGGCAATGCTTTAGGATTCATAAACAGCAAGGAAACTGAAAGGGGAATGTCACTTCTCCAATGGAGAGTGGGGAGGGAGACAATAAGATTCTAAAGGACTTAGAAGAGAGGGACAATTGTCATTTAGCTCTTGTGATTTTGCCTTGAAATAGCTGTGGTGCACTGAGTTTTGCCTAGTAGGAATGTTCCTCTCATTCCCTTAGTCTTCAGGTCATATCCAAAATTATCGAGATGCATAGTCCTAGGGAAGTTTCTGAGACTGAGAAAGAAAAAAAGCCTCATCAAATCTGAATAAGTAAAGCCTGATACAAAACATGCTTCCACCCTATCTCTGTCTGAGAGACTGAACAAGGAGAGAGAGAGAGGAGTTGTCCAGGTGATTAGAATGAAATAGAGTTAAATTGCAAAGGCTTGTTAGAGAAACACAACTCAGTCAAACTCTTCAGTAAGTATGCTCCATGGAGATAGTGATAACCGCCATGAGGTGTGAGGTTAAGAGTTATAGGTGAGGTGGGAGATGGCTAGATGGGTGCAAGGGACTAAAAAGAAGGCCCTAAAGCAAAATGATAATGTGGGTAAGGGAGCTATGGTTGGTCAATAGTTAAGAGACTCATAAGGAAGAGTTTTTGTTGCATTTCTTAGATTTAAATATGGTAGAGGCTAGAAGCTTCGGAAATGTCTGCAGTGGAAAATCTGAAAGTCAAAAAAAAAAAAAAAATCACAGGTACCAGTGATATGCACATAGCATCCGCTTTGTCATTGACTATCATCCCCTAGAGGTGAATGAACTGAGGTCATTGTCAGGATACCATAGGTAAACATGGAATGTTGACCTTAATTGTGCAACTTCAGCTTGGTTCTTAAAACTGAGTCAGCAATAGACTTGGACCACTCACATGGTAGAGGAGAAGGGCATTCTGGAATCTTCTTTTGTACTGGGGAAAATATTTCCCACTGAAGAGGGTATCTAATTTCTTTTTATTTTCTTTATCCTGTCTAAAATGCTGATTAAAAAAAAAAATTTCTCCCTACAGCTGGGCATCACAACAGAGTCTTGAAAATAATATGCAGATGTTTTGGCACATGTGAAAAACTGTCATGCAATTATAAATTATTCATTTGAAAAAAATAACACAAATGTCTTTTTGACAGATAATGATTCCACATGAAAACCGGACCAGTGAGGCTATGTATAATAAAATGAACATCTCAGAACTCAGTGCTATGATTCCCCAGGTTGGTGAAAAATCTCTGAAAGAAAATTTTCTGTTACCTGATATTTTACAAGGGGTTGTATTTCATCTGTGTATAAAAGTTAGCCGTGCAACTCTTAAAACTTACTATTCATCATTTGATTATCTTTCTTTTCAACTATCACATAAAATATCCTTGTATGTGCAGTGTGATTTCTTCTGACATAGAGAATACTAAGAGATTCTGATAATGGCTTAAAATGGTAAGGCCATTCTTGCAACACAGCCATTGGCACTAGTTGATGTTGGTTCAGCTGTTTTACATTGTATAGACTTTATTTCAACATTTTACCCTCCTTGGTTTTTTTTTTTTTTACTTCATTTTGATAAAATGATCATAAAGTGACCACTTTAGCTCTTCCACATTAGGGCAAGATGAAGGAGAAGGACCGACCCATGGTCCCTTCTGACTTGTTTATTTTACCAGGGTAAATAGAAAATCCCCTTTTCAGAATATTCCTAGATGGCTTTTAATTCTGACTATAATTTGGTCATGTGACCATCCCTGTTGTGGGGCAAGAAGTCAGGATGTGGGTGATAGACAAGTAAGTAACTGGTTTTCAGGTTCATTAGTATTAGAGGCAGACAAAGGGAAAAGAGTTGGCAAATGGCCTTTGGTGAAGCCACACAAAGCACCAAGCAGTGTTTGTTTTAACAGGCACACGATAATGCTGTATAGAGTGGGTTATCCTGTTGTGACTTTTTCTCCCTCCTGGAATAAGAGAGGTTGCACAGAGAAGACCAATATTGTTCTAAGGCATCTGTATCTGTTTTTATGGGAAGAAGAAGGGGGACATGAGATTTAGAGGGAGAGTATTGAGGGAGGGAGTGTAGAGGATTAGAAGAGTGAACTAAACTGACAGAAGAGATGGGCTTGGCGTGAGGTAGGGCTGAGGGAGTAAGACAGAGAGAAGATGGTGGGTGAATAGGACTGGAACAGCTGAGGGAATGCATCATATATTACATGAGAATGTCTACTGTCCCATAAATTTGCGGTACAGAACACAGGCTCCATTTGTGATGAAAACCATAGGTCTGAATGGCAATGATCTGGCTTCGGCTTGTGGATAAGGAAATGATAAGCAGTTTCATTTTTAATGATTTGGATGTTATGGATTATGCTCAGCCTACTCTTATTGAATGACTTTCTTCTTACCTGCTGCCTTAATAAAGATTTCATTTGTTTTCTATCCTCAGTTTGACTGGCTGGGCTATATCAAGAAGGTCATTGATACCAGACTCTACCCTCACTTGAAAGACATCGGCCCCTCGGAGAATGTGGTGGTCCGCGTCCCACAATACTTTAAAGATTTATTTAGGATATTAGGCTCAGAGAGGAAGAAGTAAGAACTTTCATGTGCATTTTTACTGTGGCTTTTGTTTTCTCTATAAATTAAACAGGCCTTCATTTTTTGCCTTCATTTTTCATGTGCTTTGAAAATTGGATTTAAAAAAAGTTACAGCAAAACAGTCACAGGGAAAATTACAGTGCCCTTTATGATAAATTGGCCCACATCATTGTCTGTGGTAATTCACTTGCTGAGATGACAACAAATACACAATGGTTTTTGCCCCTTATTTGCCCCAATTTCTTATTTCTCCATACTGTTTTCTCTGAGAACCTAAATTGTTTATTAGTTTTGGGAAATAGTTAGTAATGATGTTCCTGAGATTTCTAGATAAACACTCCTCCCTCCAGTCCATTCTTGGTCTTTTGCTGCATTTTTTTTCTTTCTGTTTTTTAGTCAGCAAGTAATTTTCTGGCAACAGACCAAATTACTTGTGTTGAAAAGACAAGACTACTTTGAGAAAATTGTGGAAAAATTGGGATGGATGAAACAACTTTACAAATGATCACATTTCTCATTTTAAATAATGTTTAGGGGTTAGTGAAAAATGTTCTAAAAATGCTCAAGTTTTATGTTCATTAAGCCATTTAGGTTTGATACAGAAAATGAAAGGTGAACAAATTTAGAAAAACAATTCAGTAAAACTAATTGCTTTGCTGTGGTAAAAACACAAATATTTTATTATTCAGATACCATTTTGCCAAACATAAGTTTCTTTTTAAAAGTGCTACAGAAGTCCTACGAATAAAATTTAGCATCTAATGTCCACATGTACCCCATAGAAACATCTAGATTTCCAAAAATAAGCCGCAGCTGTTTAAGATATCTTCCATTTTCATTGATAACATACAGAAAAAAAAAAAACCAAAAAGAAGTAACAATAAATTCACTACTTAGGGAGAAATAGTGATCCTTTAGAAATTTGCTATGTGAAAATTGAATCTGACAGTGTGTAAGTGTATGTAATGGTAAGCTTTTTATTCCAATGTGCTTACTATCTAGGACAAGTTACACGTGCCACATCTCCTTAGGCCCTCGTTGAAAACACATATTCCAAACACCATATCCTCCACAGAGTCTGGTGTAGTAGGTCTGCAGGGCATCAGGAATCTATGTTTTATTTTGTAAATGAATGATTTAATTTTGCCTTATGAGTGTTTTATCTACATGTATATGTAAGTGTGTACAATGAAGGTGCCTGGTACCTGTGAAGGTAAGAGGAGGGCATTGCATCTCCATGGAACTGAATTCATAGACAGTTGTGAGCTGACACATGTGTTCTGGGAACCAAACTTGGGCCCTCTGAAAGAGCAACTAGTGTTCTTAATAACTGAGCCATCTCTCTAGCCCAGGAATCTTAATTTTAAAAAGGCATCTGAGGATAGTTTTATGATTCTCTTTTTTGAGGATAGGGAAGATGGGATCACTGTATTTTAAAACTGGTTTGTAAACATTTTGTAGTTCTAAAATAGAGGCTAAGCATTCCTTATTCAATGACATGGCCCAAAAGTCGTCATATACTTAATGATCTATATTGGGAATGGGATCCAAGCCTAATACAAAATTCATTGTATTGCATGTATAAAATATATATGTAGACTTATACTTTTTTAAAGAATAGAAATTTCAACATTCTTTATTCATTATTAAAATCAGTACAGTTTACATTTCAAATAGTCTTGTGTTGAAAGAAACACATATTAAATGCCAAATAAAATATATTCTGACCCTGAACACACACAGAGCAGACATAGGTTTTGAGCGAAGACTTCCAGCTCAGAAAGGTAGAATGTTCTAACATGCATGGGCTTGTTATGCATGCTTGTCTCAAACAGAAGAATTTATATACTTAAGCACAGTCTAACACTTGGCATATTAAGAGTTGAAATTATATAATATTTGTAGCATGTACAAATTTTGACTGAGACTTTTTGAAGAAATTAGGTGTGGACTTTTCTATGTATGGTGTAAAATTACTGCTTAAAAAGTTGTAGATTTTGGAGCATTTTGGGTTTCAGGTTGCTTGACTGGGGTTGTTAAACCTGTACTAAAATATGAAATCCAAGTACTCTTCTTTCTCCATATGTCATCCTGTTGCTGAGCACAATTTAGATGCACATGGTGGTTCCTTCCAAAAGGAAGTATTTGCCACACTGTGTATTCATTGTTCAGGAGCTGGGGAGTCAGTTTCTTCTGGTGACTCCGAACTTCATTCTAAAATAGTAGAGACTTTTGGAAATTGTATTGATTTGGTTTTTTCCAAAGCTTAATTTGTAACCAGGGCCATAAAACTCTGGTAGTGATAGTTTATAACTGTGGGACTTTTGTAGTAACTGGCAGTAGGAAAAACTGGAGGGGGATTTTCATGTAGTTCATGCTAAATTGATAACTTACCCAATTGTGAACACAATGAACAACTGTAGAAGAACGTTTAGATAGAAGGCTCCTGCAGACATTATGCTCACATAAAATTTCACTTAAGGATCAACATAAAACCAAGATGTTTTAAAGGTTTCCCAACAACCAAGTCATCAAAAATGGGAGTTCTATATACACTTATGAGATTTTAAAGATATTCTATGTGTCTTGAAAAGATTGACAGCACTTTGCATCTCATAGTAAGGTTTCCCATTGATGACCAATCTTTAAAATTTTTTTGTGTCTGACTTCTTTCTTGCTTCTATACCTATTTTATCTGTCTGTCTTCCTTCTCACTCCTTTCTTTTTCCCTCCATTCCCCTTCTTATCCTTTGTTCCCTAGGACCTTGCATGGTGCTGAGCAAAAAAAAATGTACTACTAGATTATATTCCCTGTTGATCAATCATATTTGTCTCTCACATGTGTAATCTGAAAAGTCTTGTTGAGGAAAGGTCTTCTTGGGTCTCCATATTATCTTATGTTCCAGTTTCTGTAAAAAGTGTCTATAAACTCTCATTGCCCTTTGTTCCTGTCAAATATGATAGGATCATTCTGTCTTGTAGCTTGACCTTCCTTTAGGATTGTGGTACTCTCTCCATTCATCTGGTGTCTAAAGAGAGAGAGTAGGTGAAAGATTGTATAGGTGTTTGTAGAATGGCCTGCAAGTGGGATAAGTCAATTCTACCAACATTTCATAAGACATGTCTTATGACATATCTAACTATAGGAGAGCCGGGAAAATGGAGTCTGCCCGTATGTCTGGAGGAGAAGGGTTGTTTTCTCTATACATACTTTTATCAAAGAGTTTATACCATTTTTTTAAATGACTATTTTTTAACAGTTCCCCACGTCTTGCCACAACATAGTGAACACTGGAAGGCAGGCATTTTGTGAAATGGCTTTTGTAGTTTTGAAGTGTAGCACAGTGCCTCTCACATAGTAGGCATTTCTTTAAAGTTTCTAGACATTAACTAAATATTTTACCACCACCACCACCCTGTGTGACCTGTGGTCAGAATCCCAAAGGATAAGAAATAGTTCTTCAGGTAGGGAAGAGAGGAAAGGGCCCATGTTGAACATCTGGCATGGTGGAACTAATGTGAATACAGATATTGCCTTCAAAGTTAGAAGCTAGAAGCTGACAGGCTATTTAGGGCTCAGGATGGATAGAGAAGGCTTTAGCTTATTGCTTCCAACGTCTTCCCATCTGCCCTTCTATTTGGTGTTTCTGTACTGCTCTATTCCGAGAATTTGCTGTTGGAAACTATACACAGGTCATTTTGACATTGACTAACATCAATATTAATAATGATCTTTCATCTCAGAAAAGTTCTCTAAGTGGCCCCTGTTTTACATAGGATGTGATTTGTGCAGTGAGTCATAATTAAAAAGCAGAGATGATATTCTGTATTGGTTCATATTTGTTTTCATATTCCATCTCTTTGTTCCATACTTGTCCCTGTATGCAAAATAGGTTTTTTCAAAACTTCTTGCATGGTTGTAGAGATATTTGTTGAACGTTCCACATCCAAAATGCTTGGTAACAGATGTGTATTAGACCTTAGAATTTTTATGAATTTGCAGTATTTGCATATACATGATAAGATGGGATCTCAGTGTAGACACAAAATTCGGCATTTGTGTTTATGTACACCTAGACTTAGACTGAAGGTCATTTCATAAGGTAGATTTGGTGTTCCTGCATTTTGTGTCTTTGTGACTTGTAGTTTTGTGTTAAAATGCAAAAACTCAGATTTGGGGGCACTTTGAATTTTTGTATTTGTAGTTTAGAGATGTCCAACCTGTAGTAGTATATTTCTGATTAGTTAGATATTGCTAGTGCTTGGAATTCTGTTATGTTTAATGTTCCAAAGATACTCTTGGTTGGCATTAACTGCCCATTTCTTGACTGCTGCTTTAACTCTTATATCAAGCTGATTGTTCACCTGGCAGGGGATACTCCTCCTAAATTATTGGGTATGATGACAGTAATACAGGAATTTTTCTTATGGTACTGCAGATTGAACCCAATGTCTTGCAAGTGCTAAGCAAGAATTTTAGCATTGAACCACATCTTCAACCACTGACTCTTGGTAGACAGTATATAAAAAATTCTGGAGCAATGAGACTCCCCCTGAGAAGTGATGATACAGGGACTACATTGGCTCTTGTTGTTAGAGGGAACAAATTGTTGGGGTGTAAAACTGGAAGCATAATCTAGAGGTTGCTATAGGAAAAAGATGTTGGAGAAAAAGTGAGTAGATAAGGAGGGGCTGTATCGTTCAAGTTACATCCATCTTTTCCATGTTTAGTGATTATGCACCTATAGTTTAAAATAAATTGTAATAGGAATTCTATAAACCATCAAAATTAACAAATGATGCATTTTTTTTTCTTAGAAGGCTTTTGGCAAAGAGCACTGTAGACTTCCCCCTCTTTCTGTTTGCTGTATCTTTCCTACTGATTCCCTGATTTGAGGCTGCTCCAGAATTGCTCAGATTTAGGTAATTTGATCTGAAGAACAAGAGACTATTAATGAGAGGAGTGGTGGGGGGGTAGAGAAGAAAAAGACAAA